CTTAATTTTTCAGCTCTGCAATTTAGGATTGACTATGAGCTGCTCTCATCCCTTTAATGCCAATGAAACCAAAGCAAAAAATGTTCAGATGAAAAAGGAAGGGAAGAATGAGAACCAGTGACATGGGCTCGAGCAGTAACCCAAGACCTTGTACAGGCTCGGACTAGAAATCTGGAGGTTGTGCCAGCCCGCGAAGCCTGGCGGGAGAGACTTGTTTCCCACTGCGATGATCACCAGGCCTCAGTCTTTAGACTTAGTTGGTCAAGAGGGTTCGGTGTGGTTTATAGAGACGATTTCCTTTTTCAAGAGGCACAGAAATATCTGAAGCCCAGACGCTCAGAACCCAAATCTGGAGAGATTTTGAGACCCTCAAGATATCAGAAGCCTAATTTCAGTTTTGATTTTCTCTCTTCACTCCAGCATCAGTTCTCTCAAGACCTTTTGAGACTGCTATCTTCCTTCCCTTTAAAGAAGAGGAACAAAGGAAAAGTTTGAAAAACGCAGAGAACGAGCAATATTTTCCTTTTAAAGAGACAAAGTGATCTAGGAGTTGTCATACAAAGAAAAAAGAGATAAAGTGATCTAGGAGTAGTCATACAAAGAAAAAGGAAAACAGGAACCTTCATTAACCACGAAGGGATTCGAACCCTCAATCTTCTGATCCGAAGTCAGACGCCTTATCCGTTAGGCCACGTGGTCACTGCCTTCAAGCTTTTTGCTATAACATATAGAAAGTACTGTATTTAATAGCAAATTGTCCAGGCTGGAATTTTAAAAAACTCATTTAATAATAACAAAAAGGCAGTGACGTTCTGACCCCCCATACCTTTAATTAGCGGAAAAATGAAAACTGTAGATGATGTGGATAATTTGGGATGCCGGATGCGGGATTTATGAGAGGTCAGATTGGCAATTATTTTGGTCTGTGGTCTGCGGCTGCTTCACGGAAAGAAAAGTTGCTACCTCTATGACTTCCAGCAGCAGAAATACTGTAGTTTATGTGCCCTAAAAGATGCCAAAATATTACATACTGGCTGCATCAAAGGTTAGTTTTCAGAAAGCCTTTCACAGTTCCTTCCGCATGCAGGCTCACCACAAGCGGGGTCAGACTCTAGATCGCTGGCGCCCGCCCGCGGTTGCTAAGGAAACCGCAGCCGGAAGGCAGTTTCACCATAGCAACGGCAGGGCCTCTGTGCTTGGCTATCTGCGGACCCCAAGCACAAGGGCTGTCACCTCTCCCTATTCTCCAGGCACGTTCCCTGGTTGTGACAATATGGCATCCAAGCACTTTTCAGTAAGTCTCTGTTTAAAAAAGAAAAGGTTACGGTAGAACAGAGGTCCAGAGCCATTACTGTATTCGGAGCTTCCTTATATTTAGAAGCGAAGAAACACAAAACAGAAAAAAAGTTTTTTTTAACCATTAAGAATTTTTATGAATGAATTATCGAAACAATGCAAAACAAGAGGCGATAAAATCATCCTATGAAGAAACAGTACTTGCTCATTTGTGGTAGGACTTGGCTTTTCTAGATTAGTAAAAAAAAAAAATGCCATTTTTTCCTGGTGCATGGAATACCAGCTGGCAAAGAATAGGAGAGTAATAAAAATGTGCTGAATTTTCCATATACATATTTTTGAATTGTCATTTCTAAGGTAAGTTTAAGAAAAAAGGGTTCTGTTCTACAAAAAATTTGAATACAGACTTATCTTTCTCTTCTTGGATACAGAGATTGGTTGAAGAACTATTTGCAATATTTGCATGACCATTTGATGTCATTTTTGGCTAAGCCATCGTGTGTAACTGTGGAAGAGCAGTTGGTTTCTGGATAGTTTTTGAAAAACATTTAATGATTAGATTTGGAGTGTGCGAGAAAGAGAAGTTATATACTACTCCATGATTTTTCTTCTGTACCGACAAAGTTCCCACTGACATGGGTGGCGATGAAGGCGGGAGGAGCGTGGAGGGTGATGTGTGTGTGTGTGTGTGTGTGTGTGTGTGTGTGTGTGTGTGTTAAGACTTGTTTCAGTTTTGTATAATATTTCAGTGGTGATGACCAATATGAGGTGGTCAGACTTTGGTATCATCCGAAATCTCCCTTCTCTCAATTTAGAAGGTGAATTTTTTTTTAAATTTTTTTTTAAATTTTAAAGAGTAAAAGGATAACATAATAATAGGGGGGGGCTTACCAAATTATAGACAAAGTGGTAGGAAATTATCAATGGTTATTGTTTTACATATTGTTATCTACAAGATAGTTTCTCAGGAAAACAAATAGACAAATGATAGTGAGTTACAGACAAAAGAGGTAGGAGATTATCAACAGTTGTTGTACTATACTTAGGTATCTTCAAAGTGGCTTCTAAAGAATATAAATAGAACTATACATGAGTGACCTACTGAATAATCAGTGAAATATTTTTTGAAAGATAAATTAATCAAAGAACAAATCACAAATACGTATAAGAATTCCATAGTTTTGTTTTGTTTTGTTTTGTTTTGATACGAGAGAACCTGATCATACTCTTTGTTCACAGTTGTTTGGAAGCTTTCTACTGCCTAGGAAAAATAAAATAAAAATGTATGTATTGCATATTGACTCCTTTTATGACCTGCCTTTTACCTGTTTTGCCATAACTCCAGAGTGTACTATAAGATCTAAAATTTCAAAAGATCTAAAATTTCTAGAGCTTTCTTGACATCTTTGACCCTTAAAGGGCCCCTAGAAGATCTAACCTCAGGTTCCCAGACTTGCTAGATCTGCTGGCCATGAGGATGCACAGATCCCTGAAACAGGGAAGGCTCTCTATTGGCCCGTTCCCTTATTGGTCAGACAGGCTGCAGCCCTTCAGTTAGCAACGTAGTAAGCTTCATTGCTCTGCCAGCTCCTAAACCCCAAACCCTTCATTACCACAATAGCTGCCTCTCAAGGGCTCTGGGAGTTTTTTCTGCTTTTCAATGCAGCCCCTCAATTGTCTGCATGACATGCAGTGTCTTTTTCTTCCTGGCTTTTAGTGTTGTGACCAATACACTGTTACCAGTCTCATCTACCCAGTGTTGGAAATGAGGCCTATGTTTCACTAAGTGTGAATAGCAATCCATCCCAACACAGCCACATTTTGCTTCAAATTTCTCTCCCTCATACAACCTCCCTTATCTCCATACTCCATCTCACTCATACAACCTCCCTTACCTCCATACTCCATCTCACTGAATTATTTAGGGTTCCTTACGAACTCTTAACTCTCATGCCTCTTTGTATTTGTTTCTTTTGCCTGCAATACTCTCTTTGGTTTTCTAGCAAGTATTTCTTCGAGTTTTGGCTCAAAACTTGCCACCATTCTGAAGGAGACAATTGCCTCAGCACTGTTAATGCAGCAAAATTCTTTTATTCACTTTTCACTTAATTTTGTAGATAAGTACCATGGTGAGGACCCTTGACCACACCTGCAAAGTGCTGGAAGAGTCACCTTTACTGATAAAGACGTTATTCTGTGTTCCAGAGGCACCAAATCGCTATAAACCACATTGTCAGCATATTTAAAGTAAACATGAAGATTCATGATGTGCACCTGGTGCCTGGCTAAGGGTCCACCCCATTGCTGGTCATATGGTAGCCAGTGACTAGCTCCCTTTAGCACCTCTGACTCCATATTCAAGTGGACTTTGTTTGAAGAGTACGGCTGACATGCAGATCACAGCTCAAGAGAAAGCATATGTGTGTTGTCATTGAAGACTGGAAAGAAAACCTTCCTCAGCCTTCAGCTGTCTACATCTGTTTCCTGCATTATATCCTTTGCTGTGATAAAATTGGAACTGTGAGTATATGTCGAGTTACATAAGTACTCCCCTGAATCAGTGGTGGTCATGGCTACATCCACCAATTTCCTTTATTACACTTAGTGGACAGTCTTTTTAAGGAAATAGTACTATGTTGAAAATATTTACTTGTACCCGTCTTCATCCGTGTCACTCAGCCGATTTCAGACTTTTTTCGGCTTCACAGGACAACATGGATTTGTGATAACCGGCTGACAATGGTGTTATAAGCATTTTGATAACCATAAATCTAATTTATTGAGAGGACAAATTAATGATACATAGGAATCCAAGAAAGGTGCAGATCTTCAAAAGTTTTAAATGTATTTTTGAGACGCTGTTTCAGTTTCCGTAATTTGTTTTCAAGTATCCGGATGTAGTTTGTTTTCTTAAAGTAACCAATTGGATTTTAGCTCAATAAAAGGGATGAAAACAACTTAGCAGAGGATGGTTTCGATCCATCGACCTCTGGGTTATGGGCCCAGCACGCTTCCGCTGCGCCACTCTGCTACCTAGGAATGGCTTCCTCCTAACAATACTGTTAACTCTGCTCTTGCATGATCTCATCATGAGACTCACCAACCAGCAGGAAGTCGCCTTTTTCATACGTGGAGATCACAGGGTGCGTATTGTTTGGAAAGTCGTGTCGGCATCAAACAAAAAGCAAAGCTTAAAGACACAACCATTAGCGCTCATAAATAGCTGGGTGCAGATATGAAAGGAGGCTTAGATACGGAAATGGACATTGCAGATTTTAATAAAGTCGGGGGGGGGCGAGGACACGTGTAATGGAACTAGGATCTCTGCGCAGCCGGCAAGAATAATACTACGGAATCGCTAAGCAACTACAAATTTGCGTTCCGGAGAAAACTTGAGGCGAAGGAGAGAGCGAATGTGGCATTTCTCAGATTCCTCCCCGGGAGCGTTTCCGTCCCTAACAGCAGTGAGAGGAGCGGGAGCGCACAAATCTTGCCTCTTTCTTTCGTCCGAGGCTGCGGCAAGCAGTTCTGGTGCAGTCGTCCTAAAGAGACACAAGTGACAATTACTTAAGAAACCTTAGCTTCGTTAGTCTGACTTAGACACAAGGCCAGGAAAGATCCTCTTCCCGTAGAAGACTCTTAGGTGGGACTTCCCTGGCAAGCGCGCTGAGGGAACACAATCCGGGTCATTGGTGACGTCACCATGCAGTCTGCGAAGGCGGGACCAAAGTGCACCCGCGGTCTGCAGTCCTCAATTAGGTCCGCAATCGATGCATATAAGCAGTATTATAGCCGCATAGCGTCACTTTTCTGAAGTCTTTTAGTGGTTTCAACATGTCTGGACGTGGCAAAGGAGGAAAGGGTCTTGGGAAAGGTGGTGCTAAGCGCCATCGTAAGGTGCTTCGCGACAACATCCAGGGCATCACCAAGCCCGCTATCCGTCGACTGGCCCGGCGCGGCGGTGTCAAGCGCATCTCCGGCCTTATCTACGAGGAGACGCGCGGGGTGCTGAAGGTGTTCCTGGAGAACGTAATCCGTGACGCCGTCACCTACACGGAGCACGCCAAGCGCAAGACAGTCACCGCCATGGACGTGGTCTACGCGCTCAAGCGCCAGGGACGCACGCTCTACGGCTTCGGCGGCTAAATCTCATCTGTTTCCTACCAAAACTTAACATCAACCAAAGGCCCTTTTCAGGGCCGCCCATGTTTTCCTTTAAAAGAGCTAGCATTTCTTGCTTCCGGTTCTTGCACATTAAATTTTTTCGAAGTATCCAGTGGGTTTTGGCTCCCTTTATGTGAGCTAATGTGGGGACGGAGGTAGTTTGGGTCTTGGTTTGATTCCTTGGCGCCTGCGTGCTTTGCGCTCTGGCAAAGCTTGTCTTTTGAGGCGAAAGTAGCGGACCGCTCTTCACTCCCGCGTTGCCGCATTCAAGATGGCGGCCGGAGACCGCCTGGCGGGAGAACAAAGCGCTCGGTCTCAGCGCCTTCTCTGGGGGTGCTGCTGTGTAGGTGGAGTTTGCAGGGACTGCGAGGAGTGTTGGAGATCTTTCCTCAGCACAAGAGACTCAGGTAATTCTGTGTTTCACTTAGAGCATTATAAAAGCTAGAAGATGTTAATAAGATAGCCTTAGCATTTTTAAAAGTATTCATACAGGGGGTCGGCGGTATATAGCTCAGCGGCACGGCGCCTGCGTGGAAAGCGCGAGGCCCTGAAGATTCCCAATTACAAAAAAAAAAAAAAAAAAATCATACGAACAGTACAGTTCACCCAAGTTAAATATTGGACTGTAAATCCTCACATTTCGTACAATGAATGTCACCGGTTTGGCTTGGAGATCCACTTAGATTTTTGTCTGCCTCAAATCTTTTGATCTAGAAAAGCTACTTTTCCATTTTTAGGCAGTGTGCTATAGAACAAACCTCTACACTGTTATTTGGTTTGTTTTCCCTAAGTTTATAGTCAAACGGAGGTTGCTATATCAGAGAGTTTATACATGATAATGTACATCCCGTGGCACCGTATCAGGAGTGCATGATGTTTGCCTTATCCAAAATTTGATATAATGCTCACTTTCTGGCTTAGTGATAATTCCATTGTAAAATCAACCTTTTCCTTGTGGCCAGCAAGTAATCTATGGAATGATACATTGAAATTAGAAGACCTAATAGTTATTTTGAGTTTTTTTTCCAAGAACCTAATTTTCTTTTTTCTGTGTGCTTGTTCGTGTGCACGTGCATGTATGTATGTGTTGAGACGGTCTCGCTGTGTAGTTCAAGGCTGGCCTTGAACTTACTATGGAGCCCAGGCTGGCCTTGAACTCTGGATGATCCTCCTGCCTCAGCCTCCTGAGTACTAGGATTATAATTGTGAAACACCATGCCTGGCGATAATTGTGTAACTGTGAAAAGAATCGCATATCATTAGAGCTAAGACATTGATTTGAGAAGAACTCACTTGAATGTAATTTTAAAAGCAAAAAAAATTTTTTTTTCACTATAGCATATGCCAGGCATTGTTCTATGCTGTGGGAATTGCAGTAGTGAATGACAGTGATGAAAGCAATATTTCGGTATTCATTCATGGAGTTTATATTACTTGGGTGTGCAATATAAAGTAAACACAGTATATCTTATGGTACAGTGCTATCATTACTGAAGCACAAGAAAAGCAAATTTTGTGATAGGTAATGTGTGGTTTTTAGCTGTGTGAAGCATGAGGGCTTAGGTATCGCATAGGTAACACTTTGGGATGAAATGTACTGGTGCTTGTATGTATACTTAAAAAAATGCTACCGATGCTATGTGTTTAGGTCATGTTTGCATCTCTTTCCTCATTAGCACCTTCCTTCATTGCTTTTGTAATGCTCTAACTGTAAGCCCGAAGGTACTATTTTAGATAAAGTGGTCAGAGAGAGCTGTGTTGAGAAAGCGAGGGTTGGGAAAAGTGGAGTGTTCTACATAGAAGGCTTAAGAGTGAAAGTGTTTAGGAAAAAAGGAGATTCGGTCTCAGAAGGAAATGGAAGTGAGTATTTTTTGTATGGCTTTGTAGGTTAATGAAACTGCTTTGACTTTACTTTTGACTGAGGTGAGCCCCTGAAGGGTTTCAGCAGAGGGCCGACAGGATCTGATTTATGTTTAAAAATGGTCTTTATCTGGATGCTTGATGGAAAATGTGATAGGGGCTAGAGTGAAGCGAGGACACCACATAGGAGGCTGCAACAAAAATTGAGTTGAAGTGGCTTGGACCGCTGTGCTAGTGGTAGAGTTGTAAAAAGTGATTAGACCCTGTGTATATTTTGAAAGGAAGGCTTAAGACCTTTGTTTCCCCTCTTATCTAGTGATGTCTAGGGTCAGAGAAAGAAAATTTGTAGATGATTTCTATGATGTTAACCATAGAAATTGGGATGGAGAATCCACATTGCTAAAATCAGGAAGAATATGAGAAACAAATTTTTGAAGAAAATTGTACTCCTAGTTTTGAATATTCAGGGAGAGTTTGAAATGTCTGTCCGATATTTAAGAGGATGATGTGAAATTGTTGGATGTATGAGTCAGAAATTTGGGGAAAAGAAGTTGGCTAGGAACAGAGTTGAAAGTTGTCATGATATAACTGCCTTGAGAATGGAAAAGCCACAAGATCTAAAGAAAAATTTTGGGGGGCCGTAGGCTGCAGAAAGAAGGAATGTTTACTAGGTACTCATCATGTCAGCACTTTGTTTTATAAGGGCTTTGCCCAGTTTTCTCCATTTTTTCTATAATTCTCAGAACAGAATACATTTTATCTGTATGTATGTGGAAAAATTCTCTCAGCAAGAAAGAATATGCAGTAACTCTGGAAATCTCACCCAAATAATGTTTTCAAATGAGAGCGTGAGCCAATCCCTGTGGTGAGGCAGTGACACAGTACATATATGCACACCCATTCTGAAACGCACCCACTCTCCCCACGTGTTTTGCAAGCAGTTCCACAGTGTTTTCAGGCCTCCTGAAGCCTATGGTAGTGCTCAGCTGAAGAGTTCTGTATCTGATGCTGCCTTTTCTTTTAGTTTGATCCTAAAATTCTTCACAGATGATTCCTGAGAATCAAAATCTGATTCTGTTGAACTGTTGTCTCCTTGTTGCTGTGGAGATAGGTCTATTTGTTGAAAACATAGAAATTAAATGACTGCCCCACAGATTTTTTTCCCTTTGAGCCCCAATCTCAGACTGTGGTACCTACTGAAAGTCCTTGAGACAGTCCAATTAACATTCACTTCTAACTTCAGTAGGGTTCAGACAAAATTTTGGAAATTACCTCTGCAAAAAGAGCTCCTCTTATCACCTTGACTTTGGTGAACTGCAAATCTCTCTGTTCAGCTGGAGCCATTTTTATCTTTTCTTTCACACTGGACATCCAATCTATCAAAGTCCTAATAACTTAATTCTGAAAATACAAGCAATTTCTTATTCTCACTGTCTTGTTCACTTTTATTAGTGCAGTGTCCTGGTCACCAAAGTACTTTCCATGGCCCCAAAGGCCTCACTTTTAGGCCTTTGTTAGCTCTTGGGCCTCAAATCCCTGTACTTTTTCTCTCCTTCCTGTCATATCTTCACCAACCCCTGGAACCTCCTCGGAGCATACATCTCCCAGGGTCTGTGTACTGACTGTTCCCTCTGCATGGGCCATTCCTCTTCCAGACCTCTGCAGGTATTGCTCCCTGCAAATAGCAAGCTTCGGGTTTGTATATAAACACCACCCTGCTAGTGAGGCTGTCTGATCACACACTGTGAAGCCTGACTTCCCCTCATTCTCTCAACACACACCCTGCAGAGAAGCACAGCAGGAATGGAGTATGGCAGAAGATGTCAGAAGAGTGTGTAATTCAGGTGACTATTTCCCTTTTCTGGTGGAAAAGGAAACTATTTCATGAAAGAAACTTCCAAAAAAAAGTCTAGTGTATTAACAATTTTGCAAAGTGCTGTACTTAAAAAGTGTGATATTTCTTGTAACAAAATTTCAGAACAAGCAACATGTAATTGTTTATGGAGATTATGTCTTTTTGTGGAAGATGGTGATTTGTCCATGAATATATTTGTCTGTTATTATTTCTTAACCTTAAATTATAATCCTATATAAACATAGGTAAGTTATAAAGGATACTATGATGATCATACTTGATCCCAATTACCAACCAGCTAAAACACAGATTGCGAATAACTCCTTTGCTGCAGTCTCCTCCTGCTGCTACTCATCAGAGGTAACCACAACTTAGAATTCTGTTATTTCTATCTTTCTTACCTTAAGATTTCTTTATGCTTTTCTGTTCTTTACGATCACATTGCACTGTTTTGATCAGTTTTCTTATTTGATTCTCTTTGAGGTCATTAGGCTATGAATTTAGATAAGCACATATGCTTAGAGTTACAGGATTAGGTGATTTACAAATGCTTGTCAGTCTGTTTTCTTTCTTTTAGGTTATGATTCTTTTACTTTTCTAAAAAAATTTCCTGAGAATATTGTATCTTTAAATTATTATTCTATTCATCTAATACATAGTTATTGTTCAGAAATTATTTGTTGAACAAATGACTTTTATATTTCTTAATGTAGGATGAGGAGCTCTGGAGAGGAGACAGAACTTCCTATCTGTTAAACATCCCTGGGAGTTTTGAAGAAAGCCCAGTAGAAAAGGTTATCTTCAGAGGAGATGTTAAAGAAATAGCAGTTAATATTTGGCATTGAGCTTTCTATTTTTTTTCCCTGTGACTAAATCCAGTGTGTGCATAAAAATGACAGAAATGAGAAGACATTATTTGGCATCCCACAAACATATTTTATGTTTATTTTTTTCTACAGTATTATTTTGGAAAACTGCATAGTATTTTATTAGGGATGAAACGTTCTTAGCCAAAGTTCTACTCTTAAACATTTATATTTCTACTTCTTTAAAAGCAAAAAACAACAGAAATAGGAACAGTATTCTGAAAAGTCAGAACTTTGTACATGGTTAAGTTTATGCAGAAAAGGAAGGGTGAGGACATGGGAAAGATTGTCATCTGCCAACCGAAGAAAGAGGCGCAGAATGAAACCATGCTGCAGCCTTGGTCTCAGATCTGTAGCCTCCAGAAGAGAAAAGAG